AATAAAAAGAAGCCTGTATAAAATCACTTCCTTTTTGCAATCCATGGCTAGACAATTGAACGTGGTGCTGCACATGGTTCGTTAGGACCTGAAAAGAGGGCCCAAACCGAAGGACCATAACATTTTAAGTCATTGGGTCCAGTTTGGTGGTACTTTTTTAGACGGCCTGCATTGCATAAACTGCAGCATAATGATTGTTCCCTATTGAAATGGCCAGGCAAAAAAAGGAAGAGTTTTCCATCTTTGATAACAAATAGGAGATGTAGGATAATCGGATTATAATTTCAATAGTAAAACAATTAAGATTTAAACTTTGGTGATAAAATTTGTTAGCAATTAAACAGTTCATCACAAGGATTTGATTCTTAATTTTTTTTTTTTAAAACCATGGTAGATATATTCCGAAGATTCTATCACAGACACTATTTATATAATTAGACCCTTGTTTAAACAATTGATTTGTTACATTTGGTTGTTGGGCTTCACATTTAGTCGAACACACCCTGATAACGTGAAGGAATTGAGATATTGATCTCAAAACCATTTAACTGGTTGACGTAAAGTATGCGTGGTTGTTGAGTTTCGCATTTCACATATGGATGAACATGTTATGATATCTTGACGAAAGTTAAGGTTGAAATCTTAAGAGCATGTAACTAATCATAATGCAAAACACATGATTATTAAGTTTCACATGTGGGTGAAAGTGGTCTACATTGATTAGTCCTTACAAGTGACTAGTGCACATCCTTATAAGTTCTTACAATAATTTTTAATTATTTTATCACGGCAACTCTTTACATCCTACACCCGAAATCAAGTCCACGGTGCCGGAGTGGACTCAAAGTGTCATGGCCCACAGGGATAAGGCTACATATAGATTACCAATCAAATAGAAGTCAATACACTTCTTCACACTCTGGACCAAACAATTTCACTGAAATGTCTCTGTAATTAATACGATAGTGGTTAGAAAAAGGCTAAAACACCTCTGTAAAATCTTTCTTGTCTCCAAAAGATGGATTGACGTGGTTGCGACCAGCTGGTCCCCTTTTCTGAAGAAAAAATTTTGAATTATGCAACCTTGGTGCTTGAGTGAGTGCTTTGTTAACTCTGACAAATACAAAACCATTATAATTTTAAAGAAAATTAATAGAAATGACTTAAAATTTGAGTTTTAACGATAAGGACAAAATAAAGGGTAAAATAAATAGTATCAAGATTGACTTTTTAATGTAAAAATATAGATTTTCGTTAAAGTGAACATTACCGAAAACTTTTCGTTAAATTTTCTTATATTTTAATCGTAGAAACAATTAATTAGACAATAATCCTGGTGTATGCGGAGACACGTGTACAGATTTTTTTATTAACCATGTTAAGGAATCGCCTTCCCTCATGATTCCATTTAGTTGGGTCCGTCGTCCTAAACACCTAATAAAGTAAAAGGGTTTGTTGCTGGGAAAAAGGACAAAAGAAGAACTAGCAACGGGAGATTTTTTAATATCATCGAAATACATAGTAATATATTACGTGTTACTATATAAATTATGAGATATATATGTTAAAAAATTAATAATTTAAAAAATAAAATATTTCATCACTTACATAAAAATACGTGATGTATTATCCGTATTCTCATCATAATAAAAAATTTCTCACTAGCAACGAGGTGGCATTCTCTCTCTTCATCGAATCTGTCTTTTTACTAAGAATTAAAGACTTGCTTGTGTTGGGTGGGTGATGAGGGTAGTTCACCACAAACTCCATCAACCTCTAATGTAAAAGAAAATCCATTAAAAATCTTTCAAATTGGTCAAATTTGTTGGAGAATAGGATTTCACATTGGTCATATGACAAAATAATATAAAATTAATATATGAGAGTTTAGCCCTAGTATTACCGAGACATTTCGTGGTAAAACTCAATACTTAATAATAGGTGGTTAAGTTAAGATAATATCGATGATACTGGTGGCTGATCATGCTTAGGCCTATAAAGTTTCATATGGTACCAGAGCAAGCTATTTTTTCGACATGTCTTGGGCCTAATTTACTGAGCTCGAATTTGCCTCATTAAGTTGGGCTTTCGAAAAGTTGCACTAGCTCAAACTTAAGGATAATAAATAATTAGGCTTTCGAAAAATTACGTTACCCCTAGTACTTGAATGATGATCAGGTTCTCGAAAAGTTGCGTTAGCTCCGGTATAATGACTTAACTAGTTTATGATGTGGGAATTGGTTTCCTTTGTAACCCTATGTAGGGTCACTCGTGAAGAGGCATGTTGGAGAATATGATCCACATCGGTTATATGACAAATTTTATACAATTAATATATTAGAGTTTTCACACCTAATACCACCAATGCCTTTTATGCTAAAACTCAATACTAAATAATAGGTGGTTAAATTATCAGTGATATTGATAGTGGACAATGCATGGGCCTATGAAGTTTCACATGATTGATACCAAACTCATAACTTAAGTCGTTCAACGTTTATTGCTACACCGAGATTCATTTTAGACTGATTTTTTTTTTCGAGTCGTTCACAAACATGCGAACATAAATGACCAATGATGGTTAAAACTTCAAAGTATCGTGCGAATCTTGGCCGCTTGATGGTAATAATGTTTAAACCAAGAAATTGAGTGTTTAACATTTAAAAGTCAAAATGTATGTCATATGTTGTATTTTCTCTCAAAAGAATGTCCATGTCCATAAATGCCGGTTGCTTATTTTACGTAACTTTTTGTTTTCGCCAATCATATGACTCATGTTAATATGTTAAATTTGAAGTTTTAACTGGCAACTATAAAAAATCATCATGAAATAATGCATGACGATTTCTTTGAAATATGAACCACAATTCCCTCGACAAAATTGCTAAAATACAAACTTATTTCCCAATTAATTACATACCCTAAAAACAAGACAAATTAAGGGAGTGTATTCAATTGATAATTTGAAAGACTTTAATAGATTTATAAATTCATGGATTTTTATGAAGTTTAATTTTGTAGAGATTTCATATAAAATTTTGATTCAATTTCCTTGAAATCTCATAGGAATATGTGAGATTCGTGGATGCTTAAAATATACTACGAAATCTCTCCAATTCCTCTAATTCCTCAACTTTCTCAAATTTTTTAAAATCAATTTCTAATTGAATACACATGGAATGTTATAAATTTATTTAAAATCCTAATTGAATACACCTGGATTTTTAATTATTTTAATAAACTATCTTAAAATTCTAATTGAATACACATTGAATTTTAGAAAATCACTTAAAATTCTGATTGAATACCTTTAAATTCATTAAAAGAATTAAAATTCTTCAAAATCTAAATTGAAGGTAAACAAAATAAAATATCTAAAGTGGAATATACACTGTACAAATTTCTATATATTTTCACTCCGCATCTCATATTTTCCATATTTACAATATTTACACCTATCAAAAAAATCGAAAGCAAATGAACGACACCTCTAAAATTGCGTACAAATAGTTACCTGTGCCAGCAGAAATTAACCAGGCCAAGGTATCCCATCTCTGTAAAACTGTAAACAGTAAGAGCCAGCTTTCTCACTCCTCCTCCATATATTTGCTTCTTTCTTCGTCCCACAACCATTTCCCCATACTTTCTCTCTCTAAAACCCAGTTGTTCTTACTATTTTTTCTTACGCTTTATCATTGTGCCGATCATTCCCACTTCTCCTCCTACCCTGACCCTTTCATCGTCTCTCAACGAGAAGCTCTCTGATACCGGAGAATTTCTGGGTTTGGGTGTACAGGAGAGATTTTCTGCAGTCCGGGGCAATTTCATAAATACCCAATTCCCCGGGGACGTCCACAGTCCAAATTAGAACTTGTGCAGGGGGTTTTGGGTAAAAGTGAGAAAAAAAATGCAGAAAACGAGTCCGACTGGGCTGGACAAGCTCAAAGCTTCCAACTTGTTCGCATTCCCGGAAAAAATCGGCTACTACTTGGCCCTCTGCCTGCGCGTGGGCCTCCTCCTATGCCTCCTGGCGTCGATTTCACTCGCGCTCTTCTCCGCCTTCTACACCAAGTCACACTGGTTCCCCATGCCGGACTTCACCCGGACCCGAACCGACTTCATAGCTCCGGGACCGGGACCCGGACCCCAACCAGAACCCGAACCCAAACCAGAACCCACCAACACCTCCCACATTCTCTTCGGCATCGGCGCCTCCCTCACGACTTGGCACGACCGGAGCCGGTCAGGGGAACTCTGGTGGGACCCCAACACAACCCGCGGTTTCGTATGGCTCGATGCGAAACCCAAAAACGAAACGGACTTCTCCGGTTCGATTCCGTACCGGGTGTCGGAGGACTGGACCCGCTTCAGGTACTCGAGTTCGCAATCGGCGGTTCGTATCGCGCGGATTGTGTACGAGAGCTTTAAAGTCGGGCTGCCCAACGTGCGGTGGTTCGTGATGGGGGACGACGACACGGTGTTTTTCACCGAGAACCTGGTTTCGGTGCTGGCGAGGTACGACCACGACCGGATGTACTACATTGGCGGGAACTCGGAGAGCGTGGAGCAGGACGTGATGCACGCGTACGACATGGCGTTTGGCGGCGGCGGGTTCGCGATCAGCTACCCCCTCGCGGCGCGGCTGGTCGAAATGATGGACGGCTGTCTGGAGAGGTACTACAATTTCTACGGCTCCGATCAACGGGTGTGGGCCTGCGTCAGCGAGATGGGTGTGCCGCTCACTAAACACGCTGGGTTCCACCAGGTACGTCGATACTTTTCTTGCTTTGTTTTTTGGTTACACGTGGCGGCGTTTGGTTGTTTTACTTAGCAGCCAGGGGAAAGGGGTGGCGGAATACGGAGGCGGTGGGTCAACAGTTTTTGGTTTTGTTCGTGACGCATTTTTAACGGCAAATGTGGGCGGGTCATTGGGTTCGCGCCACGTGTGTGGAGTAGAGGACGGGTTTTTGAAATTTGTGTTGGAGGACCAAATGGTGAGCTGCCACCTTACCTCGTCAATCATACTACAAAATGGTTTTAATTAATTGACTCAAGAGTCAAATTTTTGGAAAATTCAAATCAGAAAATTTGAAATGATTAGAACTAAAGTTTATTGGTGAAGTGATAATTCTCTCTGTATTTAGAAAGACTAAAACCCTACTTAAAAGTTTTCAAAAAAAACAAAAACAAAAACCCTACGTTAAAAAATCTTCATGTAGCTCATTCGTATAAAAAATCTTGGTCCCGTCCTTATTTAGACAGGATTGACTCGGAATTGAAAACAAATTTAGTAGTCTTATTCTTATACAAATGTGACAAAAGTATGTGCAAAACGCACTAGGTTTAGAACGATGTGGATTCTCTTATTGTTCCTAAACTATATTATTGTTTATATTAAGGTCCTAAATTATATTATTGTTTACTTTAAGGTCCTAAACTATATTATTGTTTATTTTAAGGTCCTAAAGTATAATATTATTATCATGACACGTGGCAAAGCATGCCTGCAATGCGATGTTACTGTTGGTAGGTTTTATAGTTACTCTGTACGAATAATATTTGATTTTAAAGAGAAGAGATCCATCTCTTCCACCAAGATTACCAGATCAAGTGATCCAAATCTTTGAAATTTTATCCAACGGTTAAAAATTATTATAACTTTTAAAATGTCAAAACATATAGGATGTTTGATGAAATTTTAATGGTCCGAATCACTTGATCAAATCTCCTTGATGAAAGAGATCCGGACGTTTTTAAAAGCTGCATGCATGTGTTTGGATTGTCGACGTCGTGTCTCATAGCAAAAAGTTGAATACGTGTCCTTGAATTTACATTTTTTTTTCTTCACAGGATTACTTTAATGAACATTCTGTTTAATTTATTGTGACAAAGATTAGCGTTGGTGGCCTAAATCTCTCTCCTCTGTCTTTAAGCAAGCAATTGCCTTTGATAGACATGGAATACGCATCGTTTACTACACCTGTTTTTGTGGCGTTTATGGCGCCATGGAATTGGAAAAAGTTGGTAGCTATGCTCCCACCCGCCAGGTGTAAAGAATTCCACTCCACACTTTTGGTGTAAGAGTGAGGACATTTCATAGTTTCATACACCGATATCTTAAATCAATCTTGTACCATCGCACTAACACGTGAAAAAGTAAAAATTTATGTAGATTTGAAATAAAGATAATCGTATATTTTATATGTGTAAGTTTGTCTCATAAAACACTGATCGTAACAATAAGTTAATTGTTCGTACATGTGATACTGACTTTGTCAAAATGTTTTGGAGGTTTCTTTGGTGGCTCCGGTGACAATACCGGGTCATCTTTGTCCTTGTGTACTGCCCACTTAAATTTTTCCAACCATTTACGCAAGATAGTTGGTGGGTGAGTTTTTGATAAGGCTGTAGTAGCTTTCACCATATAATTGTATGGTCGAAATTAAGGTTGTTAGGTTTTAAGAAACCCATCTTGTATGGGATGTATAATCTATTTTGAAATACGGTTATTTGGTCTAGTAATACTCGGTCACAATACATTGTTCCGTCAATATTTTGTCATTGTTGACTATAGAATATGAATGTGACCCGTTTGGTTTATTGTAATTTTTCCATTTTTCAGTTCGATATCAGAGGGGACCCCTATGGTGTCTTAGCAGCGCACCCATTGGCACCACTAGTGTCACTTCACCATCTGGACTCCATGAAACCCATGTTCCCAGACCAGACCCATTTAGACTCACTCAAATCCCTTCTTCGTGCATACCGGGTCGACCCGGGCCGGATCCTACAACAGAGCTTTTGCTACGATCACCGGCGTAAATGGTCAATGTCCATTTCATGGGGCTATACCATTCAGCTTTACCCGTCATTGATCGGAGCTATGGATCTTCAGATGCCATTGCAGACGTTCAAGACATGGCGGAGCTGGAGTAATGGACCTTTCACGTTCAATACCCGACCCGTGAGTTCCGACCCGTGTCAGCAGCCCATCATTTACTTCTTGGAGCAGGTTGCTGTCGGCAAGAGTGGGATTGTGACTATTTACAAGAGGTTTGTGGCCAATGAGGGGAACCAATGTAAGCAAAAAGAGTATGCCCATGCAATGGCAGTGCAGAGGATTGAAGTCTCCTCAGAGAAGATGGACCCTCACTATTGGACAAAGGTAACCCTAGCTCTTTTCACAATGATAGTATTCCTTTTTCATACGTATGGGTCCTACATATGTGTTGAGTGTTACACAAGGAAAGCTTCCATGCATTAGGACGTCATTGTGACAGTATCACAAGTCAATTACGTATATTGTGTTTTAGTACGATGTGATTAGCTTATAATACTGGCCTAATCGTGTAACGCATTGGATTAGTGCATGTCTTTTGAGCTTAATTTCGTGATTAGTGGCCTAATTAAAGGTTGTGTTTTTTTTGTAGGAAGAGGCTCCACGAAGAGAGTGCTGTGAGATTAAGAACCGAGGAAGCATAAAGAATGGAGGCATGGGGCTTAGGATTAGGGCATGCAAACCCAAGGAGTCAATTACTATGTAGATGTTTAGGAAATTATGCAATGCTGCACTATAGAGGCCACTTTTTTGGTTTGGGGGGCCCCCCCGGGGGGCCCTTATTAGCATACTACTCATATAGATCCATTCAGCCGGTCCACTTATGTAACAAATCAAGCAATAATACGAAGGCTTAGATTAGTTCACACATATAACGCAAAATTATTGCGTAGTAATAAAATGCAGTCACTTGATATACTTAGTCTACTTGTGCTTAATGATGATGAACGACAAATCTGATATATCCAACAGACTCGTGATTTGCACAATAATTAGTCGACGACTTCGTGTCATTTTTCTTTGTCCTTGTACGTGTGAGTGATGTGTCAATTTTTCAAAGTTTAACGGGGGTGGCTTTTTAGTTTCAGTGGTGGTAGAGGAAGCACTAGGCTCATATCAACAAGGGTTAAAATTGCACTTGCAACTTGACCAATTGTAGCAAGACACACACCAAATGGCCTGAAAGCAGCCGCACTAGCAAATGAAGAAGGGTACGATAAATCCACAACTTTCCCATCCACTCCAAAACTCATTGCATTTGTCTACTCAAAGGGTGAAAATAAGGAGAAAAAATTGAAAAAGAAAGGTTGAAAGCATATTTGGTGGTTTTGAAAGGTCTACGGACAAAGCAACAAAAGGAGGGAAAGGTAAAGGAAAAAAAGGCAGTGGAGCTATTATGATTGAGGGAAAAGTTTACAATTTGTAATGATAGGAGGTTGATTAAGTGCTAATGGGGAATTAATATATTGAAAGCAAAACAGACTGGAATCGATCAAACGTTGTGGATCAGTTGAATATCATCACTACACCAAGCATTGGGTTAACATGTTTAATGTGGTTTGCTATTTGATAATCTCTCAGTGGAGCTAATCTATTTGGATAAAAGTGATGAGTTAAGACGCAAAAGCATAATATGATGATCTCACTGAACAAAATAAGTGATAAATTAAGACGTAATACCTGGTGAAAGCTGAGGCCAATAATGGTTTACTTGTCCATGGGGAGAAACAATGAACAGATAAGAGTTCAGCGGACTGCTCACCTAAGCCTCCGACAATGGTCATTAACACAAAACCGAAATTTCAGTGAATGTAATAGGCAATACCAGGTAAAAGGTACAGAAAAAGAAAAGATAAAAGTGTTTATTTTAGATCGTAGCTGGTTGGAAATAGTTGTGTGTGTTTATGTATACATCTGAACAAATGGAAGGCACAATTACTTACATACCATACAATAGTTACTTCACATTTAGTAACAAGCTCCATTCATGAAAATTGCAGCTTCTGCAAATCCAAATTTTCTCTTTAAAATGTAATCCTATATTTTATCAATGATCTATTAATTGCAAAGCAAGTTTTCGCGTGTTGGATTCACCCTGTTAACAAAATAGTGGCTTTACTGTAAAACTGAGCAGATTTGTGAAGATAAATGCATAGATATAAAGTAATCTTTTATTCTTACCGATCAGCAACTTTGCAAAGATATTCACGTTGATCTTCTCTCAAAGGCACATCTGTGAAATCCGTCGACACAGAAGGCAAATTATCCAAAATCGATTAAGTTCACTGGATTGTAAGTAACACCGCCTAGAAAATATTCACTCTATGCTTGGTTCACCCCCAACGAAATGGAAACATTCCATTATCTTCTTTTTTTCCACGGAAACTGGCCAAAGAAAACTGAAGCTACTCTGGAGACTGGAGAGAGAACTAGACAGTACACCAAGAAGAAAAACTCATATTTTTTTTTTGTTTTCTAATTTTCTATCTTCACTGTAGTATTAAACTAGTTCGCATAGATTGGAGTCAACCTAGTGATGAAATCTCCTAGCGGCAAGTGTTAAGTCAAGCTATAAACAATGTTAGCATTAAGCAAATTTCCACATACCTACACCCATGATATTTGACCTTTTGAAAGATGTGTTGCCAGTGGCATCTGCACCTTCCAAGTTAGCGTTGCTCATATTTGCCTGCAGAAGTGGTACATGTGTGAGTGAGAAGTTAGGACTGAGAAACACTATGATAAAAATTTCTTCATTTTTTTGCTTGAACATCAACTGTTACTACCAATGAATCCCAGACAGGATTCTCTCATCCTTCAGCTTATTATTCCACGTCGTAATCCCATAACTCTCCGAAATGGGAGCTTCAGACGCATTGTCGACACATATTAGTATATTACTGAAAATTCCAGTCTATCACTCTCTCTGCAATTTTCACCATTTAGTAATTTACCAACGAAACTGACAGCGGAGCATCTAAATTAGGGTTCTTATGAATCAAAATGTAAACTAAATGTTCCATCAAACTTCACCTTTGTCACATTGGCCAAGGAAGAGTCCAGAGCTCTTAGATCTGCATCAGAAAGATCAGCCCCTGGAGAGAGAATATCATAGTAAATAAAACAACGAATTCAAGCCAATGCATATAAAAAGTTCCTTCTTCCTTGTCCTTCCTAAACATTTGAAATACGCACCAATGTCATTCGAAGATTACAGCATTTGTGATAATAAATTGTTGAAAACATATGTACCTGTTAAATCGGCATCAAAGAAGCTAGCACCTAATAACTTGGCGCCTTTGAAATTCGCTTGCCTCAACGTCGACTGCGACAAAATCAACACACACAAATTCAAAATCTTCGAATGCAATAAACATCAAACACTTAACATTTCACAAAATCGATTGATTTTGGACAGTTTTGAAGTCTTGCTTGATCAAGGTATTGCCGCTAAAGCCCTTGCCAGTGAGGTCCTGGCCCCTAGCCACCTCCTAACCGTATGGACCTCCACCCTTTCATCAACAACGAGACGGTATTTAAGTACATTGATTTATTTTCCGTCACTTTCTCGGGAACCAAACAGATTATTAGCATTCAGGATTGAAGCCTTAGCTTAAAGGCGAGTGCAGGATCGGCTACGAACACAGCAGCGGAGAGCAGATCAGGCTCGCCTTGCAAACGGACTCTCCCAGCGACAATGTAGAGCTTCCAGCAGCTTCGAGGCGATTTTTTACTACCTGCGAAAGAAATTTGAAAACTGAGAAATCATCAGAGCGAATTGGCTGACGTACGCGAGGTGTGCGCAGCGCGCAATATGCTGAAATGAATAAGAGAAAGGGGACGAAGGGCGGAGGGAAGGAGACGAGGTGCTCAGTGTACCTGGGGCGCAGGATAGCCGGCGGAGAGAGGGAGGTGTTGGCGGGAAGGGTGAGGTTTGTTGGGGAGAGAGGGAGGGTTTTGGTGGGAGCTCGGAAGAGCACGTGGAGACGTTGAGAAGCGCCATTTGCGAATTTTCAGTCGGAATTTTTATTCCCTTGCTTTTGTGTCAGCGGATAACGGTGAGATCTGAATTTGGATAGGAGGCAGATTCTCTTCCCTCCCCCTTTCACTTTCCGTCCCTCCTGTTTTGTGCGATGAAATTAAATCACGTTAATATTATATATATATTTTTTATAAAAATAATAAAATAAAAGTAGATAGTAATATAAAATGTTAACGTGACTAATCCTTACCGCACAAACAAGAGACACGAAAAATGGGAGGCAGAGAGAATCTGCCTTCAATATTATGGGGCCGGGGGTTCTGCAAACTTGCTCACACCTATCAGTGAGATCCCCATATCCTACGATTTGAATTTTGAAATATAGTTTTTATCTATTAATATACAACGACACAATGATTGAGTTATTAGGTATTGACTTGCCAATTAGGTACGTTGAATGTAAACATCATATTAAGAGCAACTCCACCCATGGAACCCTCATCTTGACAATCCACTATTGAATCCACCATATTGAATAATAACCGTCTTTAATGAATAGTAATTGCTATTAATGAACAGTAATTACCATTTGCATCTCTATCCTTAGAGCCCTCCCTCTGGCAATAGGCAATAAAATATTAGTTTTTTTTGTTTGTTTAAATAATACAAAATAAAATTATTTGTAATTTCGGATAAGATTTTTTAAATCGTTCTCGTTGCGCCACGTGTCATTTTATAAAAAAAAAACAATTATTTAGCGATAGAGTTCGATAAGATTTTTATCCAATATCATCGTGCCACGTGTCGTTATCTTTTGAGAATCTTTTATGATAGATTTTGATTAGATTTTGAACTCGTTCAAAATTGCGCCACGTGTCATTATCCGAAAAAAGATAATTATTGGAGATCGATTTTGATAAGATTTTTATCCAATACGATCGTGCCACGTGTCATTATCTTTTCAGAATCTTTGAGGATAGATTTCGATCAAATTTTTAACGAATGATGGCATGCCATGTGGCCTCATCTACAATCCGATCCTTTCTGAATCGTCTATATAATCCACCATCCATCCTCACAAATCTCACACCAATTTTCTTAACATCTCTATCTCATTATTCATAGTTTCTGCTTCTTCTTCACCATCCATCCTTACAATGTCTTCTTCTTCATCAAGGATGAAGTGGGAAATCGATCAGTAAGAGGAAGAATTGTTTAACCAATCTGAAAGAATGTTCAACCTTTAGATAGCCGAAAATGAGATGGAAGAGGATTTTTTCCATTTTTTTAAAAAAAAAATTCAAATAATTAATCTCTGCCATTGGATTTTAAAAATTTTGAATTCCAACACTTCAGATTGTGCCACGTGTCACAACAGTAACTTTTATTAATTTTAAAACTATTTTTTCTTTATTTATAAAGCATATTAATATCGACCATTGATCTCAGATCGAACGGTTGATATTAAATAAGATTTTTTTTATTTTTTTACCGTTGAGATCCAACGATCCAAATTAAGGAGCCGTTGAAATCGAACGAACCGTGGGAAGTCACGTGGCTTCCCAATGGTAACTGAGACCACTGCAAAAGTGGACTGCTTTTCTGAAAAGCTGTCGGGCGGCGTGCCCCCACGTGCGAGTGGGGTGCACGCGCCTGACAGAAAAAAAAAAAAAAAGGTTTGGAGCTCGGGCTCACGGGCTATCAAAAGTTGACAAGCCTTTTACTCGGGCCTTCTCACCAGCTCGGGCTTTTCAAGGTTGGAGTTGATTCATAGGGCCTCGGGCCCTTTCCTCTCCCCTGGGCAACTCTCATGGCTGGAGCTGCTCTAATAAGTGGAAATGAATATCATATCGTAATAACAAATCTTATTTGCACACTTGTTAAAGATACTCATTTATATTCATTTTTTTTATATATTTGAATAAGCAAATTTTGTGATAACACGTATTTTGTCTTAGTTGTATGGTGAGTGCGGTTATGTTTGGATCGATTTTAGTATTGCAAAATTACAACTCAACCAATTAACGTTAAGTGGTGCAATACAGTTTAGTTTAAGCTAAACGAAAAGAGAAGCCAAATAAAACCTCGTACTTATAATCTTATGAAGTGAAAGTCATCAACCTAAGAATGTTAACTATTTTTAAGCACATATAAGGTCAATATTGCATATGTTATTCCACCAAGTAACAAAGTACAAATCCTATATTATATTAAAGGTTCATGTCAATGTGTTAAATGAAACATAATAGTAAATAGTGACATATACTATTTTTGATACATATGATATTATTTACAACAAGAATATAAATCAGACAAACCTCCCAATGATCTAGATATATATTTATAATAATTTGACGAGAATCGAGTTTAAGACATGACTTACCGCTACGTAAATACTGATCGGCATCAAAATGTTATTATTATTAAAACACAAAAATAAAACACGGTGGTGGACTCATCTTCTTTTCCTTGTTTACTGGCAGTGTACTTTCTTCTTCTTCATTTCATTTGTTTCTTCCCCTAGATCCTTGGCCGGACTCCTCGCTCTTCCATTTTTCCAAGCAAGGTAAATTCTTCTCTCTCACGTAACTTCACTCGCATGGAATCTTCTTGGCATATCAATTTTTTATTTTTTATTTATTTTTCTGATATTAATGGATCGCACGGTCCGCCGGATCTGTTACCAGAGAAGCGGAGCGGTCGAACCCGAAGCTTGCAGTTGGGCTTGAACCGGAGGGGGAGAGGAAGGAACCGGATTGGGAGGTGTCAGGCTTGGGATCGCAGGCGAGGTTGAAGGCAGGACTGCTTGGTAAGTAGCCAAACGAAAATTTGGAATTTGAGTTGTTAGTCTCGGACAAATCAGATGCTTGGAGCACATTTGGCGTCCGAAGTTCGGATTCGGCTTTTGAAGGGCCAATGTCGAGATCAATGGAACCAAACAGAGCCAATTTTGGTTTACTCTTGGGGCGAGCTGTTTAGTGTTGTTTTAGGTTTTAAGTTGTTTAGAATCAAATCTTTAGTTTTCGAATGGAAATTGACTGCGTAATTCTCCGTTGCGTGAAAGCTTAATTTTGTTCAACTCTTAAGTTGGAATTTATGTATGAAGTTTAACCTATGTTTTTATTAGTGAAGGTAGTGTAGGTTTTTTGTGTCATTTATAGTGTGTTTAGATGGTATGTGTACTTGTAAAGACATTTAAACTACAGAGCGAGACGGGAAGTTATGGTTGTTGAAAATTAGTAGGAGTGGTTATGGGAGTCTAAATGTCTGCATATGATTTGATTACGAATGTCTTGAATTATGCCTCTCGATTAATTGTTATACATCAGTTAGCTTACTTGGTATGTTGAATTTCAGTTAGGTATGCGTTGCCTATGCTTCTTTGCCTTCTCTATATAGAAGCTGGTAAATACAGCTAGAACTTGGGTTCTGTTCAAAAGAATATTGTTCAGAGATGGGGCGTCTAAAGCTGCAAACTGGCATCAAGGCAATTGAGGAAGAACCCGAGGACTGTGAGGCAGCCAATTCAAATAAAGCTACGTTGGCATGCATCATCAATTCAGAAATAGGTTCGGTATTAGCGGTTATGAGGAGGAATGTAAGATGGGGCAGTCGTTATATATCCGGTGATGATCAGCTGGAACACTCTTTAATCCAGTCTTTAAAGGCATTGCGCAAGCAAATTTTTTCATGGCAGCATCAGTGGCATACCATTAATCCTGTTGTGTATCTCCAGCCATTTTTGGATGTGATTAGATCTGATGAAACTGGTGCACCAATCACTGGTGCTGCTTTGTCATCTGTTTATAATATCTTAACACTTGATGTGATTGATCAAAATTCCGTAAATGTTGAAGATGCCATGAACTTGTTAGTTGATGCCATCACTAGTTGTCGATTTGAGGTCACCGATCCTGCATCAGAGGAAGTGGTACTGATGAAGACTACAGGTTCTTCTGGCTTGCATGAAGAGTAAAGCATCTGTTATGTTGAGTAACCAGCATGTTTGCACTATAGTGAATACGTGCTTTCGTATCGTTCATCAAGCAGGAACAAAAGGCGAGTTGTTGCAACGAATAGCTCGCCACACAATGCATGAACTTGTTAGATGTATTTTCTCACACCTTCCTGATGTTCACGACACTGAACGTGCACTGTTAAATGGAAGTACTACAAGAAAACAAGAGGTACTGTGACTATCAAAGTTTACATGCATTAGGTCTTAGCCTAGATGTGATCTGTTGATTATGTAGTGTAAACTTATTAGTTGATACACAAGCGTCCAATGTCAAGAACTTGTTTGTGAATATGTGATGGTTTTTTCTTGTGCAGATTGCTGGGCTAAATAATGAGTATGCTTTTGGGAGTAGACAATTGGAGAATGGCAATTTGAGTTCTGGGTATGATGGTCAACCATTATCCACAAGTCCTCCCTCAAATGCTTCTTCAGGCCTGGTAGCACCTGGGATTGATGAAAGTGTACTCACGGTTTCTACTGAGAAGGAGGCTGTTCAATATGATTTGCATATCATGACTGAGCCATATGGGGTACCCTGCATGGTGGAAATATTTCACTTTCTGTGCTCTTTGTTAAATGTTTCTGAGCATATGGGGGTGGGACCCAGATCTAGTACCATAACATTTGATGAAGATGTGCCTCTTTTTGCCTTGGTTATGATTAATTCAGCTATAGAGTTGGGTGGATCCCACATTCAGAATCATCCCAAGTTATTGAGTTTAGTTCAGGATGAATTGTTTCGAAATCTTATGCAGTTTGGTTTGTCAACGAGTCCACTTATTCTTTCAATGGTATGCAGCATTGTTCTTAATTTATACCACCATTTGCGCACTGAACTTAAACTACAGCTTGAGGCCTTCTTTTCTTGTGTGATTTTGAGGCTTGCACAAAGTAAATATGGAGCTTCTTATCAGCAGCAGGAGGTTGCTATGGAGGTTCTTGTTGACTTCTGCAGGCAGAAAAAATTCATGGTGGAGATGTACGCTAACTTAGATTGTGACATAACATGCAGCAATGTCTTTGAAGAACTTGCTAATCTGTTGTCAAAGAGTGCATTCCCTGTCAATTGCCCTTTGTCTTCAATTCACATTCTTGCTTTGGATGGCCTTATTGCTGTTATTCAAGGAATGGCCGAAAGGGTGGGGAATGGATCAGTTTCTGCACATACGCCAGTGAATCTTGAAGAGTATACTCCATTCTGGATGGTGAAGTGTGACAACTACAGTGATCCTAGTAATTGGGTTCCATTTGTTCGCCGGAGGAAGTACATAAAGAGAAGGTTAATGATTGGAGCTGATCATTTTAACCGTGACCCAAAGAAAGGACTGGAGTTCCTCCAAGGAACATATCTGTTGCCTGACAAACTTGATCCACAAAGTGTGGCCTGCTTTTTCAGGTACACTGCTGGGTTGGACAAGAATCTAGTTGGGGATTTCTTGGGAAATCATGACGAGTTTTGTGTTCAGGTTCTTCATAAATTTGCCGGTACCTTTGATTTCGCAGATATGAACTTGGATACTGCACTCCGACTGTTTTTGGAGACATTTCGATTGCCTGGAGAATCACAAAAGATACAAAGGGTGCTTGAAGCATTCTCAGAGAGATATTATGAGCAATCACCACTAATTCTAGCTAACAAGGATGCTGCGCTTTTGCTGTCATATTCACTCATAATGCTCAACACAGATCAACACAATGTTCAGGTAAAGAAGAAAATGACGGAGGAGGATTTCATTCGGAATAATCGGCACATCAATGGAGGCAGTGATCTTCCTCGAGAATTTCTGACAGAGCTTTACCACTCAATATGCAAGAATGAGATCCGAACAACTCCAGAACAAGGTGCTGGTTATCCTGAAATGACCCCAAGCCGGTGGATTGATTTAATGCACAAATCTAAGAAGAACGCTCCATTTATCATGTCTGATTCCAGAGCCTACCTAGACCACGATATGTTTGCTATAATGTCGGGCCCTACAATTGCTGCTATCTCTGTGGTATTTGATCATGCAGAACATGAAGAGATTTACCAAACTTGCATAGATGGATTTTTAGCCGTTGCAAAGATATCAGCATGCCATCATCTTGAAGATGTCCTGGATGATCTGGTTGTATCTCTCTGTAAGTTTACCACCCTTTTAAACCCATCATCTGTTGAGGAGCCTGTGCTAGCCTTTGGTGATGACACAAAAGCAAGAATGGCAACTGTGACTGTATTTACAATTGCCAATAGGTATGGTGATTACATTCGCACAGGTTGGAGAAATATTCTGGACTGCATCTTAAGATTACACAAGCTTGGCCTTCTTCCAGCTCGTGTGGCCAGTGATGCAGCCGATGAGTCGGAGTTTTCAGCTGACACAGGGCCTGGGAAGCCTATAACAAATTCTCTCTCTTCTGTTCATGTATCTTCCATAGGTACTCCTAGGAGATCCTCTGGATTGATGGGTCGGTTTAGTCAGCTCTTATCTCTTGAGACAGAGGAGCCAAGATCGCAGCCTACTGAACAACAACTTGCTGCTCATCAACGCACCCTTCAGACAATTCAAAAGTGCCATATTGACAGCATATTTACCGAGAGCAAGTTTCTGCAGGCTGAATCCCTCTTACAGCTTGCACGCGCACTGAATTGGGCTGCAGGACGACCCCAGAAAGGGAATAGCTCTCCTGAGGACGAGGATACTGCAGTTTTCTGTTTGGAGTTGCTGATTGCTATTACCCTAAATAATAGGGATAGGATTGATCTTCTTTGGCAGGGAGTGTATGAGCACATATCCAACATTGTTCAGTCAACTGTGATGCCTTGTGCTCTGGTAGAGAAGGCTGTTTTTGGACTTCTTCGGATTTGCCAGCGGCTGCTTCCCTATAAAGAGAACCTTGCTGATGATCTCTTGAAGTCCCTGCAGCTTGTCTTGAAGCTTGATGCTCGGGTTGCTGATGCTTACTGTGAGCAAATTACACAGGAAGTCAGTCGCCTTGTGAAAGCAAATGCCTCTCACATCAGATCCCATGGGGGGTGGCGCACAATTACATCCTTACTCTCTATCACAGCCCGGCACCCTGAAGCTTCTGAGTCTGGGTTTGACGCACTGTTCTTCATTATGTCAGAAGGAACCCACTTGTTGCCGACCAACTATGCTCTCTGTGTTGATGCTTCGAGGCAGTTTGCAGAATCTCGCGTTGGGCAGGCAGAACGATCTGTTTGTGCACTTGATCTTATAGCAGGTTCTGTTGATTGTTTAGCAAGGTGGGCCCGTGAGGCTAAGCAAGCTGTGAACGAGGATGAAGCGGTGAAAATGTCTCTGGATATTGGGGAAATGTGGTTCCGACTTGTTCAGGCACTAAGAAAAGTTTGTTTGGACCAGAGAAGATGTCAGGAATCATGCTTTGTCTTTGTTGCAGAAGTGCTTGACTGGAGTGGATGGGATCCCTCTTCCACATGGTGTGTGGTTACAGTGCTTTGATGTGGTGATTTTCACAATGCTTGACGACTTGCTTGAAATTGCACAGGGACACTCCCAAAAGGACTACCGCAACATGGAAGGCACACTTATCCTTGCCATGAAGCTCTTGTCCAAGGTGTTCTTACAGCTACTTCCTGGCCTATCACAGTTAACAACCTTCTGCAAACTATGGTTGGGTGTTCTCAGTCGAATGGAAAAGTATATGAAGGTGAAAGTTAGAGGGAAAAAAAGTGAGAAGCTTCAGGACCAAGTACCCGAGCTACTTAAGAATACCTTGCTTGTGATGAATTTAAAGGGAGTGCTCGTGCAAAGGAGCGCTCTAGGAGGAGATAGCTTGTGGGAACTGACATGGCTACATGTCAATAACATTGCGCCATCCTTGCAATCTGAGGTTTTCCCTGATCAAGGTTCAGAACAGTCCGCGACTAAGCTGGGTGAAAACGGAGGTCTAGTTTCTGAAGAAAAGGGTAATGTACTTCCAACTGAAATGGCCTCGACAGAAGTTTCTGGCACTGCAGGTTAGCATGTTGTATGGTTGTTTGCAACTAGAACTGGTCCTGTTCGTGCATGTTAATAAGCACGCATGATCCCGGATTCTGAATAGTTATTTTAGGAGGCATCTTGTTGTGAAATCTTTATCTTGCAGAAACTGGCAGAAGACATCTTTGATTGTTTTCTGTAGAGCTGCTAGATGTGGATTATTACAGAGGGTGCTGCTATACATACTGGTTGTTTGAAAAACCAAGCGGATTGGTCGTTTCTTTGTACTCATCTTCATCTTCCTTCAACCGGTGTCCTCAACTTCGCCTCCGGATACTTCTGTTGCAGTGTATTCCCTGTCTAAAGCTAGCATGTGTGTTTGGCCTCCTAGGCGGTTGCTAGTGAATCCTTCTATATTTTGTACTGCCTTGTTCATCAATGTACAGAACTCGACGATTGCTGCTTCTAACTAGAATTTGTACTCGGCATCTAATCGTGCCATGTTTGACATAGTTTGGAGTTCTTGCATCGCAAATTGCCGACGTTTTGTTGCGAAAGTTGGTATTTGCTGATGCATTGTTGAGCCTTGTGTAAGAGGAGCATCCGATTACAGGTTCATGTGGTGTAATATAGTCTTCCCCCATCATGTTTGTCATTTAACCTTTCATCTTCTTCTTGTTCTCCCCCTCCATCCACTTTTGGACCTTAATGTAATCAATTTTGAATTAAACTTTTGATGCTTTCAGAATCAGGCGATGTTCGAATCTAATTTAAACTACGAGGAGATGGATTCATACTTGAGTGTAAAAGGCGAGCACACTGCTGTACATAACTTGGTTTCCGTAATTCCTTGTAGACTTCTTGAATCTTAGCAAATATTTTAGGGAATTTTAACGAAAAGCTCTCGGTACCGTTTACGTTAACGAAAAATCATATTTTTACGCTAAAAAGTTAATCCTTGTACTATTCACTTCACCCTTTATTTTGTCCTTATCGTTAAAACTCAAAATTTTCAAACATTTTTCATTAGTTTTCCTAATATTTTATCTGTTTTTACCCAATATACAACAAAGAAAACAATTTTTTAACCAAGAAAAATCAAAGCAAAAACTTGATAGTTTAAGAGCTTTTGTCCTTTGATAAAATATCTTTGAAATAACTAAAAGTTTGTTTGGAAGTGCTTTTAAAATGATTAAAAACACTTTAAAAAAAAGTTATTGGATTTCAAAAGCACTTGAAAATTGAAATGCTTCATGGAAGAAGCACAGAACATCGTGCCATCCTTGCCATCTAAGGTTCTCTGTGATCAAGGTTTAGAGCAGTCTAAAACTAAGCTGTGTGAAAACGGTGGTCTAATTTCTAATGAAAAGACTGATGTTTCTTTTAGAAAGCACTTCAACGTGTTTTACAAGAATTTACTTACGTTTTTACTAAAGATTGATGCTCAAAATATTTCCACCAAAAATACTTTCAATCATTTTAAAAGTATTCACAAAAACTCTTCCAATCATTGATGCCATCTCTCTTTGTTAGTCACCTTTTGAGTTTGTAGAGCAATATTTTTTTATTTTTTATTTTTTGATTTAAACGAAAATACTATTTTGATGGGAATCAAGAAAAATGAAAGAAATCAGACGGTCCACATTTGAAGAGTGTCTATATTCTGGAAGATCTCGTTTTTATGCCCCCCAAAAAAGAACGGAACGTATTTGTTTACAGTTCAACAGCCGATCTGGTACCAAAAGTGGGTTGGTGAACGGGTCGAACCAGAAGTTGACAATTAGGGCCGGCAACCGCCGCGAAACCGGATTTCAGAGGCTTCCGGCATGAGATCGCCGTCGACCTCGAAGGGAGGAGAACTATCGGGTAAGTACCCAACTCAAATTCCCCTTTTTCTCACCCAAATCTGTGGATTCGACATTGGAAGCGCCGCGCCAATGACAAGATCAATACGAATCTCCACCTTCTCTTCCCCCTCTCTTTCTCTCCCGTTTCTTTGTGAGCTGATTAGCATTTAATTTAGTTTAAAGCTTTCTAATCAGAATCAAATCTTGGGTTTTTAGAATCGAAATTCTCGAATAATTCAAGGCTGTGCGAAGCTTCATTTTTTTCATTGTAGGATTCCATTGAATCTTAATTTTTGTTGTTATTGTTGTAATTTGTTTTCAATTGTTGGTTGAGATTATGCATGAATCATACTTTTCTTGTCATTTCTTTTAAATTTTGTGTTATGCAAATAAATATACTGTATTCCAAGTTATGGGTGTGGAATTGGGTAGACTGGCAATGAGTGTGGGTCGTGGGAGTGGTTGTTCGAATTTGGGACTAATAGCTGTGAACTTATGGCCAGTTTCTTTGTCTGCTTATGATATGATTGGGGGAGTTTTAAATGTGGCTTCTTGATTTCTGGTTCTTCAGCTTATTTGATGTGTTGAATTTCTACTAGGTATGCTTTAGTAGCTTCGTAGACCGTGAAGGTATGCAATACCTTTAGACTTGTTTGCTTCTGTGCGTTGAAGTTGGTAAATACCGAAAGAACTTGGGTTCTGTTGAAAGATGGGGCGTCTGAAGCTGCAAAGTGGAATCCAGGCAATTGGGGAAGAACCTGGGGAATGTGATGCAACGTATCCTAATCATGCTACTTTAGCATGCATCATTAATTCGGAAATAGGCACTGTATTAGCGGTTATGAGGAGGAATGTGAGATGGGGAGGACGCTATATGTCTGGCGATGATCAGCTGGAACACCCTCTAATCCAGTCTTTGAAGGCACTGCGCAAGCAAATCTTTTCATGGAAGCACCATATGCATTCCGTCAATCCTTCTGAATATCTCCAGCCATTTCTGGATGTGATTAGGTCGGATGAAACTGGTGCACCAATTACTGGTGTGGCGTTGTCTTCTGTTTACAATATCTTAACACTTGATGTAATTGATCAAAATTCCTTAAATGTTGAAGATGCCATGCACTTATTAGTTGATGCGATCACTGGCTGCCGATTTGAGGTGACTGATCCTGCATCAGAAGAAGTGGTATTGATGAAGATACTGCAGGTTCTTCTAGCTTGCATGAAGAGTAAAGCATCTATTATATTGACCAATCAGCATGTTTGCACTATAGTGAACACATGTTTCCGTATTGTCCATCAAGCGGGAACAAAAGGTGAGTTGTTGCAGCGTATAGCTCGCCACACAATGCATGAACTTGTTAGATGTATTTTCTCACACCTTCCAGATGTTCAACCTGCTGAACGTGCATTGCCAAATGGAAGCAGTACCATCAATGGAGAGGTACTACTAATATCAAAATTGACGAGTATTATTCGGTCTTAGCATAGAGGTGGTCTGTTAATTCTCGAGAGTGAAACAATAAGTTGTACTTGCGGATGTCCAGTCTTAAATACTCTTCTTATTCACGAATTTTTGCTGTTGTGCAGATTGCAGGGAAAAATAATGAGCATGCTTCTGGAAGTAGACAATTGGAGAATGGCAACATGATTTCTGAGTTTGATAATCAGCTATTATCTACAAATCCTGCTTTGAACACTTCCTCAGGTCTTGTAGAATCTGGGATGGATGAAAAGACAGCTGGTGCTTCTAGTGGGAAGGAGGCTGGTCAATATGACGTGCAACTCATGGCTGAGCCATTTGGGGTTCCCTGCATGGTGGAAATATTTAACTTCCTGTGCTCTTTATTAAATGTGGTTGAGCATATAGGAATGGGTCCCAGGTCTAATACCATAGCTTTTGATGAAGATGTACCCCTTTTTGCATTGGGTTTGGTTAATTGTGCTATAGAGTTAAGTGGGTCCTCCATTCGGCATCACCCCAAGTTATTAAGTTTGGTTCAGGATGAATTGTTTCAAAATCTGATGCAGTTTGGCCTGTCAACAAGTCCACTTATTCTTTCAATGGTATGCAGCATTGTCCTCAATCTGTATCACCATCTCCGCACTGAACTTAAGCTACAGCTTGAGGCTTTCTTTTCATGTGTGATATTGAGGCTTGTGCAAAGCAGGTATGGGGCTTCTTATCAGCAGCAGGAGGTTGCCATGGAGGCCGTTGTGGACTTCTGCCGGCAGAAAACTTTCATGGTGGAGATGTACGCGAACTTGGATTGCGACATAACATGCAATAATGTCTTTGAAGAGCTTGCTAATCTGTTGTCAAAGAGTGCATTCCCTGTTAGTTTGCCTTTGTCTTCAATTCACATTCTTGCTTTGGATGGTCTTATTGCTATTATTCAGGGAATGGCAGAGAGGGCAGGGAATGGCTCAGTTAGTGCTGTTCAGGCTCCCCCCACGAATCTTGATGAGTATACTCCATTTTGGCTGATGAAATGTGACAACTACAGTGATCCGAATCATTGGGTTCCATTTGTTCGCCGAAGAAAGCACATAAAGAGAAGGCTGATGATTGGAGCCGATCATTTTAACCATGACCCAAAGAAAGGGCTGGAGTTCCTCCAAGGAACCCATCTCTTGCCTGACAAACTTGATCCTGAAAGTGTGGCCTGTTTTTTCAGGTACACTGCTGGGTTGGACAAGAATCTTGTTGGGGATTTCCTGGGAAACCATGATGAGTTTTGCATTCAGGTTCTTAATAAATTCGCTGGTACCTTTGATTTTCAAGACATGCATTTGGATACTGCACTGCGACTGTTTCTGGAGACGTTTCGATTGCCTGGAGAATCACAAAAGATACAAAGGGTGCTTGAAGCATTCTCAGAGAGATATTATGAGCAATCACCACAAATTCTTGCTAACAAGGATGCTGCTCTCCTGTTATCATATTCAATCATAATGCTCAACACTGACCAGCACAATGTTCAGGTGAAGAAGAAGATGACAGAGGAGGATTTCATTCGGAATAATAGACACATCAATGGAGGTGATGATTTACCTCGAGAATTCCTTTCAGAGCTTTACCACTCAATATGCAAGAATGAGATCCGCACAACTCCAGAACAAGGTGCTGGTTATCCTGAAATGAACCCAAGCCGTTGGATTGATTTAATACACAAATCGAAGAAGAGTGCTCCATTCATTGTATCAGATACCAGAGCCTACCTTGACCAGGATATGTTTGCTATAATGTCAGGCCCCACAATTGCTGCCATTTCTGTGGTATTTGATCATGCAGAACATGAAGAGATTTACCAAACATGCATTGATGGATTTTTATCTGTTGCAAAGATTGCAGCGTGCTACCATCTTGAAGATGTGCTCGACGATCTGGTTGTGTCTCTTTGTAAGTTTACAACCCTTTTAAACCCATCATCTTATGAGGAACCTGTTATAGCCTTTGGTGATGACCCAAAAGCTAGAATGTCAACTGTGACAGTTTTCACGTTTGCCAATACATATGGTGATTACATTCGCACAGGCTGGAGAAATGTTCTCGAATGTATCTTAAGATTACACAAACTTGGTCTTCTGTCGGCATTTGTGGCCAGTGAAGCAGCTGGTGATTCAGAGTCTTCTGCTGACACAGGTCATGGCAAGCCCATAACCAATTCTCTATCATCTGTTCCTATGCCTCCTGTGAGTACTCCTAGGAAATCCTCTGGATTTATGGGCCGGTTTAGTCAGCTCCTATCTCTTGACACAGAGGAGCCGAGATCACAGCCTACTGAAGAAGAACTTGCTGCTCATCAGCGCACCCTTCAGACAATTCAAAAGTGCCACATTGATGGCATATTTTCAGAGAGCAAGTTTCTGCAGGCTGAATCCCTGTTACAGCTTGCACAGGCACTGATCTGGGCTGGAGGACGACCCCAGAAAGGAAGCAGCTCACCTGAGGATGAAGATACTGCAGTTTTTTGCTTGGAGTTGCTGATAGCTATTACCCTAAATAATAGGGATAGGATTATGCTTCTTTGGCAGATTGTGTATGAGCACATATCGAACATTGTTCAGTCTACTGTGATGCCTTGTGCCCTGGTAGAGAAGGCTGTTTTTGGACTTATTCAGATTTGCCAGCGGCTGCTTCCTTATAAAGAGGACCTTGCTGATGAACTCTTGCGATCATTGCAACTTGTTTTAAAGCTTGATGCTCGGGTTGCTGATGCGTACTGTGAGCAAATTACGCAGGAAGTTGGTCGCCTTGTGAAAGCAAATGCCTCTCACATAAGATCACCATTGGGGTGGCGCATAGTTACATCACTACTCTCCATTACTGCTCGGCACCTAGAAGCTTCAGAGGCTGGATTCGATGCACTGTTCTTCATTATGTCTGAAGGAACTCACTTGTTGCCTGCCAATTATGTTCTATGTGTTGATGCGTCAAGGCAGTTTGCTGAGTCTCGTGTTGGAGAGGTGGAGCGATCTGTGTGCGCACTGGATCTTATGGCAGGTTCTATTGATTGTCTAGCAAGGTGGGCCTGCGACGCTAAGCAATCTATGAATGAGGAAGTAGCTCTGAAAATGTCTCAGGATATTGGGCAAATGTGGTTGCGGCTTGTTCAGGGGTTGAGAAAAGTTTGTTTGGACCAGAGAGAAGAGGTTAGGAATCATGCGTTGTCCATCTTACGGAGGTGTTGACTGGAGTGGATGGGATTCCTCTTCCACATGGTCTATGGTTACAGTGCTTTGACATGGTGATCTTCACAATGCTTGATGACTTGCTTGAAATTGCACAGGGACACTCCCCAAAGGAATACCGCAACATGGAAGGCACGCTTATCCTAGCCTTGAAGCTCCTGTCCAAAGTTTTTCTGGAGCTACTACCCGAGCTATCACAGCTAACAAACTTCAGCAAACTATGGCTGGGTGCTCAATCGAATGGAAAATTATATGAAGGTGAAAGTTGGAGGGAGAAAATGTGAGAAGCTACGGGACCAAGTGCCGGAGCTACTTAAGAACACCTTACTTGTAATGATTTTAAGGGGAGTTCTTGTGGAGAAAAGTGACGGAGGAGATGATAGCTTGTGGGAGTTGACGTGGCTACATGTAAATAAAATTGCTCCATTATTGCAGTCTGAAATTTCCCGTGATCCAATTTTAGAGCAGTCAGATACTAAGCAGCAGGGTGAATCAGGGCGAGTTTCTGATGTGACGGGCACTTTAATTCCAACTGAAACAGCTGCTGCTGAAGGTTCCAGCAGTGGAGGCTAAAATGCTGGATAGTCTTTGCAACTGGATCTGGTTTTTTAAGGCATATTAGTAAGCACACATGGTCGCGACCATTGAGTAGTACAGAGGGAGGTGGTCTTGTTCTGGCAGGCGACCTCTTAATTTTGGCCGTATAGCTGCAAGATGCGGGATTTAGCACAGTGGGAACTGCTATATCTGGTGGTCGGGAAACCCAAGCAGATCGAACTTTATCTTAGTAATCATCTTCAACTTTCTTGATATACTATCTTCATCTTTACCTCCTCCATCTATAACTTTGTTGTCTAAAGATATCATATATGTCTTGTTTTGTAGTAGGGTACCTATGCCCTTGTTTTAACTCCCCACACCCTAATTTTTTGTTGCGTCGAGAAAATCCGGAAGGGAATGATTCATTTCTTGCCAAAGAGAAAGGTGAAATATTTTTGTTTGATTTGTCGAACAATGTACAGAACTTGATTGCTAGTTTAACTAGTACTTTTACTTGGGCGTGGTACCGTTCTTTGTGCTTGTGTTTGACATTGATATGTTCTGTTTGATGAACTGCAAGTTCGTGACATCGTCGGGATTTTGTAATGGATTTCTGAGAGACTATTGTGTTTACCAGAGGATCTGTTTTTGTAGGCAAAATTCTTACCTGATTTCCGCTGGTGATTTCACCTTGCTCATATTTTTCGATTTTATGTTTGAAGGACTAATTGCACATTTGCCTTCCAAACATGAAGGGTTGTTCCGTTTTTTAACCCCGATTTTTGTTTTTTCTCCCAAGTTGGCCTCTAAAATATTGAAATTTGTAGAATATGTTGGAACGTAAAATTGGGAAGTAGTAAATTCTGGTCTTCAAACTGTCGTATAGGTCAACAAATTTGTATTAGAAGAGATATTTACACTATGTTTGGATAAGGGAAATAAACTTGAAATTTGGATAAAAGTCAGAATTTATAAATTGACATGCACCAATTTCCTTATTTGGATTCATAAATATAGGAATTTGGAATTTCCGCGTGGAAAAAAAACTTGAAATTTGGAACCTCAAATTCCCAAATTTAAATTTTATGTAAATCTGTGTCATTTCTCAATTTATATGATCGAGAGCTTAAAAATAACAAATTCTGTAATTAATTTCATTGTTCTTTTATGTTAACAAACAAGAAAATTCATAAATTATAGAAAATAAAATCCCGTCAATTTAATTTTCATCATTTTAAAATTCCTGAGTAATTTTAAACTTCATCAAACATAATGTTAAAGAATTTGTCGGAAATGCTCGTAATATCGTTTTAAAACTAGGTTTTTTCGTAAGAGGGAGGAGTATAAACAACCATGGATAACTGAGCTTGTTCGGCAGCTGCATTTTCTCACCCTTCTCCATCCACTTAATTAGCTGACGCAGCGACTCCATGCACACAAGGCTTGAAAGTTTGATTGCTTTTTTACAAGCTTAATAGTAGATCGAATTGTTGGGAATTTAAGGGTTTGAGAAAATGACCTTTTGTTTTGTATGGAGTAATAAGTAGGTTTTGCGGGATATTAAAATCGTAACAATTTATGTTTTATATTAGCTTGACTTTGTTGCTATCTGTTAAATTGATGATGTAATAATATAACGATTTCGGATTTCAATTTTGAGTTGACATAGAAGTTACCTTTACACTACGTTGATGAAAGTCATCACGAAACATTAATTTTTATCCAATTGATGTTTCGTATCCCTAAACGACAATTAGATGCAAAGTTTGATCATAATGGCGCAAATGTAGTTTATAAACAAGTCAAACATTTCACACTCGTCACCGTAACGGGAGAATTAGACAGTCAAATAGACAAGAAAAAAAATTCCAACTAGTGCAATTTTGAAATCTCATGAGCAAATAAAAAATTCATGATACTAAAAGATGGGTTATTTTGAAAGATGAGAATTATCTTTCCTCCTAATTTCTCTCTTCTTTTCTTTTCTTTTATTTGAACGGTTACGATTAAATCATTTTAATTTCTTATATTGATTTTTTTTATAAAGATAAAGACAAAAAGTAAAATGTGAAAGTAGGGAAATTGAGACGGAAAGAGAAGGAAGATAATCTTATCACGTTAGGTTGGTACGAGTAAAAATGCTTTAGTAGGCCAGAGAGAGGGTAAAGGGGTATATACTAGAAGATGGTAAAAACTTGTGACAGTGCCAGAGGCCAAAGACTGTCCGCAGTTTCTTGCTAGGCTTAACATTGGCAGAGCAAACATAAATCAAGATTATTTTAATTTTTTTTTAAACTGAATATAAATAGTACTTGATAAAACTAACCGCACGATATACTATAAACGGATACGGTTTAAGAATTCCTGGGATTTTCACAAAAAAAAATCTAAAAAGAATCCAAATTCATTTAAAATTTAGGTAAGATGATTTAACAAAATAATTTAACGGTTAGTTAGTCCGACCATTTAATATTAATAATATATTCATGTTGCAGTCCTATTAGATTAGGAATGTGATTGTGTAAATCCTAGTATATCTTGGAATATCTCTTATATTCCTATTAGGAGTAGATTACCTATTAAATGTTGTAATCCTAAAGGGTAAGGAATTAACATTCCCTACTACTATAAATAAAGGCACAATGGGGTGGAATAGAACACACCCACAATTACACATATCTCTCTTCTTCTCTCTACTATTGCCGCACCTTGCCTCTCTCTCTGGCCTCCATAATTGTTCAGTAAATTATGCCTACAACACGTTATCAGCATGCTTTGACGTTGTGCTAAAGAAAATTTATTCTTCAATCAAGGAAATATTACGTTTTAATCATTCTTTTTGTGATTAATTTATTGTTTTGAATTGATCTACATGCTATTGATTCAATTTAATTTTTCTTTATTGAACGTGATACAACGCATTGGAGATGTAATTCCGGCTTTCCGAGAAGGAACTTCTACAAATTCAAAGACTTTTATTATTTTCTGACAATCATGTATGCTTAAAATAAAGTAAGATATTTGAAACGACCTTGAAGCATGAAAACATTCCCTATGATGCACGAACCACCTACATTTATATTTACCTTCCGATATATATATATATATATATATATATATATATATATTGTATATGTTCATATATTTTTCAATATATATATTTTTTCATGCATTACGCAATTAAATTGCTATGTGGAATATATGAGTCAAAAATTCGAAATAAATTAGAAGCAATTTAGGGTTTTTCAAACCCTAGGGATGTCGAAAAAAAAAATCATTGCGACACCATCGTGGGCACCACAGCTGGCACCGTTGTTGGCCTGAAGCCTAGCCGTGCAGTGCAATTGGACCCCTGCAGCAGCCCTTTAGGCTTGCTGCCATCGCACCACAATCAGGTCTCGGTCTGGGTTGAACTCGCATGGGCCAGAAGTTCTTGGTCCAAAACCGAAGTCCACTGCTAGCAAGCCTTGCTTGCTAGGCCCCCATGTCATAACCCGTGTCCCTCCATAGGCAGCCCAAGCAGCTGGGCTATGTCCACATGTGACCCGGCATACCTGTAGCAGCCCTTGCAAACTAGGCTTGTCCTTGTCTCGGCCATTTTCCTGCTGCAATTGCAGCTTGCTTTCTTGCATAGGCTGCCCCCTCGTGCAGCCTGACCCAAGCCCAAAGGCTTGCAATTTTTTTGCAGGGCTGTGTATTGCAGCCAACCAAAGTGTGTTGGGCTGCATTCTTTTTCGACCCTATGCTATTATTTTAACCCGAATGTTATTATTATTTTTTCTCCTACAATCGATCCCGTTTGGTCCCAATTTATTGAATTAATTAAAAGTGACTTGCAGTCCAATAATCTGATACAACAACAACAACAACAACAACAAAGCCTTTTCCCACTAAGTGGGGTTGGCTATATGAATCCTAGAACGCCATTGCGCTCGGTTTTGTGTCATGTCCTCCATTAGATCCAAGTACTCTAAGTCTTTTCTTAGAGTCTCTTCCAAAGTTTTCCTAGGTCTTCCTCTACCCCTTCGGCCCTGAACCTCTGTCCCGTAGTCACATCTTCGAACCGGAGCGTCAGTCGGCCTTCTTTGCACATGTCCAAATCACCGGAGCCGATTTTCTCTCATCTTTCCTACAATTTCGGCTACTCCTACTTTACCTCAGATATCCTCATTCCCAATCTTATCCTTTCTCGTGTGCCCACACATCCCACAAAGCATCCTCATCTCCGCTACACCCATTTTGTGTACGTGTTGATGCTTCACCGCCCAACATTCTGTGCCATACAACATCGATGGCCTTATTGCTGTCCTATAAAATTTTCCCTTGAGCTTCAGTGGCCTACGACGGTCACACAACACGCCGGATGCACTCTTACACTTCATCCATCCAGCTCGTATTCTATGGTTGAGATCTCCATCTAATTCTCCGTTCTCTTGCAAGATAGATCCTAGGTAGCGAAAACGATCGCTTTTTGTGATCTTCGCTAGATTGCTCCGATCATTAGTGTGGATAAGTATATAAATGGATAGAGATAGGAAAGCAAACACAAGATGTACGTGGTTCACCCAGATTGGCTACGTCCACGGAATAGAAGAGTTCTCATTAATTGTGAAGGGTTTACACAAGTACATAGGTTCAAGCTCTCCTTTAGTGAGTACAAGTGAATGATTTAGTACAAATGACATTAGGAAATATTGTGGGAGAATGATCTCGTAATCACGAAACTTCTAAGTATCGGAGTGTGGTGTTGTCTTGACTTGTCTTATCTGTCTCATAGGTAGATGTGGCATCTTCTCTGGAAGTACTCTTCCTCCATCCAGGGGTGGTATCTTTAACTGGTGGAGATGCACAAGGTAATGTATCAATTTCACTTGAAGCTTACTTGTAGTTTCAAGCTTGGTCAAGCGCGATACAAACCATGTAGTAGGAGTCCCCCAAGTCGCCGAGCTAGGGGGTCTGCTGAAAGAGGTGACAGACAAGGTAAGCAATCAGAGCTCCGACTGATTGTTCACCTTCTCCCCATCTTGCAGCAGCATGAAGGATAAAGAGAAGAAAAATGAGAAGAGATGATATGAGATACTTTTGCTTTTGAAGAAGTAACTTTCCACAGGCTTATTCTTGAACTGAGCTGGAGGGTTTTCTGGTTTCCTCCAGAGTATAAGGCCGACTGAAGAATTTGAGGGTCAAAACAAGTCCATCAAATCTAGAGTACGTTCCACCCTGCTGATATGGGATATTTTTTGCTTTTGACAGAGTAATGGATGTATCGGCACGTGTGCTGTTACGCTTGTCTCCACATGCTTCCTTGTATCCTTCGCACTTGCCCTATCTGTTCCTCAAGCAGATGCGGAATCTTCCCTGGAAACATAAGATGTTGAAGATGAGTACTCGAGAGCAATGCCAGGTAAGTAATCAGGTAAGGGGTTCCAGGCAGTCAGTTCCTGGCTGGAAGCTTGATTCCAAGTGCTGACTGATTGCTCTCTCTTTCTCCTTGTCTTGCAGGTAAAAACAAGGCCAAAGGAAAAGACAGGGAAAAAGCATGATATGAGATACTCTTGCTTTTAACCCTGATGATATGAGATATTCTTGCTCTAGTATAGCTTGTTTGCAGAGGTATTATCGGGGGGAAAGAA